ACGAGCTTCGGGCCTTCGTGAAAATGTGTAAGCCAGATCTGAGGGTCTTGCATACCGAGGAGAAGCACTTCCTGAAGGAGAAGGTGGAGAGCACATGGTGGGGGGGGGGGGATGGATGAAGTACCACCTGCTACTCAGAAAGCTAAATCAGAAGACAATATCAACTAAGAAAGTACAGACAGTAAGAAGACAGGGGAAAACACAAAGACAGATGAGCCTTCAAGTGAGGAAAGTGATTTAGAGATGGACAATGAAGATGTCAATGAGCCAGATACTGATACCCCTCAAGAAATGGGAGATGAAAGTGTAGAGATAACTGAGGATATGATGGATCAAGCAAAGGAAAAGTTGCTCCACATGATGGTGAGCTACAGAAAGCCACTGACTTGTTCACAGATGCCATCAGGAAGCTGAATCCTCACTTGGCCATTCTATATGCCAAGCAGGGGAGGGGGGTCTTGTGGGTTAGCTCAGTTGTTTAAGTGCCTGCTTGGACAAGCTCAGTCAAGTGCAGGGGACCACGGTTTGATCCCCAGCTCCACATACCTTACCAGACCCATCCTTAAGGCAGCCTGAGCCAGCCAGCCACCCTCCCCAAAATAATCCTGTATGCCAAGAGAGAGTGTTTTCATCAGATTGCAAAAGCCAAATGCTGCCATTGGAAATTGTGATGGGCCACTGAAACAAATCCTGATTCATTCCAACTGTACAAGCGGTGAGGGAAGGCACACAGACTTCTGGGCTGTTGGGAAGAAGCAGCCCATGATCTTGCTCTTGCTGTTAAACTGGATTATGACGAGGATGCAAGTGCAATGCTTAAAGAAGTTCAGCCAAGGGCCCAGAAAATTGCTTAACATCGGAGAAAGTATGAGTGAAAATGTGAATAACAGAGATCAAAGAAACAATAGAAAGAGTTAAGAGGGCTGGAGAAGAGCATGAAAAACAGTGGCTTTCCTGGAGCAATGCCTGGTAAATTCCCAGGAGGAATGCCTGGGATGGGAACGGGCATGGCAGGAATGCACGGGCCCAGTGAGATTCTTAGTGATCCAGAGGTCCTTGCAGCCATGCAGGACCCAGAAGTTGTGGTGGCCTTCCAGGATGTGGCTCAGAGTCCTGCAAATATGTCAAAATATCAGAGTAATCCAAAGGTTACGAATCTCATCAGTAAATTGCTAGCCAAATTTGGAGGTCAAGCATAACGCTCATCTAACAAAGCCCTTCAGAAAAGAAAAGCAACCTAGATCACTTAATGGATGTCGCGATAATGCAAAGCAGTGTAGCTTAGACCTCATTAGGAGGGCTGGGGTGCTTTGAAGATGATCCCTTCCCCTCTGCACCAAGTGGAGCTCAAGTGTTTTCCTTTAAGGCATTCATTCAGATAATGTTTTCCTATTAGAAATTACAAATAAAACACCTTTTTGGACGTCAGGCATTGAACTCAGTACAGTTGCCCTTGCCAGGAAGGTGCCACTGAGCTATATCCCCAGCCCTTTAAACACTTTTTAAACCTTGAAAAATATTTAAAACATTCAAAAGGTCTATTAATCCCTACATTTTTCTTAATCGTTTTTAGATTTTTTTTTTCCTTTGAATTACTGGGCAAGGAAGATACTTATGTATGGAGATTTATGGCTTTAGTATGAATAAAATAAAGGTTTTTGGGGGGTGGGAAGCAAATCTCATTTAAGAAGATGAAGTTTCAGTTGGATATATGGTTACTAAGACATTTTCATTTGGCTTTTTAATGGTTTCTCTTTTCTTTTTTGAAGGTAATTTATTTCAGTATAACTATCGGAACCAGCAGTATTTGAATATGATCTGGTTGGGGACTGGAAGTATTGTAGGACATCAGCAGTCTTATACCATGTTTTATTTACTATGCTCCCTTGTACAGTTTGCATTTAAATCTTACACTGGGCTGAAGGAGTGATCTTTTTCTAAGTCACAGTGGAGTTGGGTTACTTAGATATGTTCTTGTCCAAAATATCAAATAAAAGTTTCATATTATTTTAAAAAAAAAGAAAATAAATAAGAATATTCATTCTTTCCACTGTTCTGTCACATAAAACCAAAATTCATGTGTCATGGTATAAGGCAAGGAAGAGAAATAAATAAGTTATTTAAGGATCGAAATGAATGAGGCACAATCATTACCACAAGTGATAAAATTATCAAGATGTGACATTTTGGAACAGTGACGAGAACACCTATCAGAGATCAACTGAAAAACTTAACAGTATTTATATAAAGTAAAAAAGCTACATGATTCCAAACCAGAAGACAGAGCATAAATACCTCTCAAAACTTTTTCTTAAGTTTATTATACACTTAATAATAACTACGAAGAAACAAGACATCTTTTGTTTAGGTTTGTTTATGAAGCTTTTGACCTACTAGAATTTAAAACAGAAAAAAAAAGTTTTGTTTTAATATAATCAAAAGAACAAGAATTTACGTATGTGAATATGATGAACATTTTAAAGAAACTACATTTTAAGAATATATTTTATCAGAAGACTGAATTTGTATCAATTTTTACAAAAACTAATATGAGCCATGAAAGAGTTAACACATGGTCCACTCTGCTTCAGCTCTCAATCTGTGCCAATATTTTGCTTTATAGAAAAAAAATCCTCCTCACATATCTCTTTATAAAGGAAAGACTATCAATACCTAAAACTAGTGATTCACCTTAAGCATTTATATATCCATCTTTATAAATCCTTATCAAAAATTCTTTAAAAATTTGCAACAGTCATAGAAAAAAAGCATCCTGCACATAATTAAAATTCAGTAGCCAGGAACAGTGCACATGCCTATATATTTGGTGTTTTGAGACAGGGTCTTGCTATGTAGTCCAGGACGACCTCAATTCACATTGACCCTCCTCCATCAGTCTCCAAAGTGCTCGTTATTATAGTCAAATTATAATCTTAATACAACTATATTAAAAATAAGTGACACAACTATAAATTCAACAAAGCTACAAGATTCCAAGTCAGAAGCCACTACATGAATAGCTCTCAAACCCTTCAAAAAGAAAAAAACAAAACAAAAAATCCCAAAACCAAAACCAAACCAAAACAAAACATAAAAAACAAACCCATCACTTTCAAGTCTCAAACAAAAAAGAGAAGTTTCTCTTTTCATTTACTGGGACACACTGTAGAATTACATTCATTTAAGGCTGAACATGAGATAATATATAGAATACTACATTTACAAGAATTATTAAGAAATATTTCTGCTTTATTCTCAAACAAGATTTGTTATGGGTAGCAGTACAAATCAAGAGGAACAGGTGATTGATCATCTATTTACGGTGATAAATCGCACATCTTATGAACCAAGTATACCTGATTTTTTTTTTTTTTCAACAAAAACATTCAAAGGTGCACTCCAGGTAGATACAAGACAAAAATATGAAATAAAAACTAAAATATAGTTTCCTAATTTTCATGTTTTTCTCAAAGGCAATTAGGGATGAGTGTGCTGATCTCTAAGCTCGGAGCTCAAGAGGCTGAGTCAGGAGGATTGTCACAAATTGGCTGCAAATCTGGGCTACAAAACAGGTTCAAGGACAGCCTGAACTGCATACCAGGACCCTGTTTAAAAAAAATGATTAAGTTTCCTTATACGTAGTAACAAAAGATATATTTATGTAAGTTTTACTGCTTTCTCCTTCCTTAATGCCTGTTATGTTTGACCCACACTAAGACTGAGCTAGCACACATTTTTTTATTGTTACACTAACAACAATGTGACTTCAGGGAAGGACTGTCCCTGTCATTGGTGTACATTTTACCACCATCACCATTCCCTCCTCTCCCACTTTCTTTCTTCTCCCTGCAGAGAAAATTTTTATCACTAAGCACTGAGATCTCCGATTTCAGGTTTCACTCCTACCAAAATACTCCTTTAATATAAAGTTCACCTCAATCAGCAATTCAATTCTTAAAACAATATCGATAGTCCCAGGAGCATAGCAGTTATATGAGATGTCACTCCTCTGCCTTTCCACCCCTACCAAATCACATGTCCATGTACAGTCCCAAATTCAATGATTCTCACACTGTCTGTGTAACAAGCAGTCCCTTCTGGAAGTCTTCCATAACAGCAACTCCCTAATATATATTTACATCTCCATGTCTCTCAGCATTCTAAACTCTATGGTATGGGAAGACCGCATTTAAGTGGTCTTTTTCTTTGTAAAAGTGTCCTCTAAATATTTGTTATTTATTTTGCTACGTATGTGATTGAATGCTGGGCAAACAGTCTACCAATGATTCACACTGCCAGAAAAGTTAAACCTTTCTTTTCTTTTCATTAGTTTACTTTTCTTTTTTTGTAATTCATGTTGGCCATAAACTCACTGTAGCCCAGGCTGGCTTGGAAACTGCAACCATAGTCTGGCCTCAGCCTCTCAAGTGCTGGGAGTTTAGGTGTGCACCACCACACCTGGAAAACTTTTCTCTCAATTCCTGCGGCATTAATGATCACTTGTCCCTAGTTTGGCTGAGTGGAGATGTACTCGAACTGCAGCAGTTTTCTCTCATCACAGTGGAGTGTTGGCCTGAGGAACTAAGCTGTGGCTTTGAGAACCCATACCACAGACAACCATAAAGCGGAGGTTCTCCAGATCTCCTGGAGGAGTGACTGAGACCAAGGATCCCGCACTCCACAGCTCTCCAGCTTGACTCTCCCCAAACTGCGTCTCCCTACCGTTCCCACTCTTCACACACAAGTGGAGACGTGGTTGTAGGCTGCAGCTGCCTGAGCCTGCACTCTCGGCTGGTGGGGTGGCTGTGGAGAGACACAGTGCTGGGACCTCAAAGTAACCCTGCCCCAGGCTGGGAGAGGGATGGAGTGAGCGCGGCCCAAGAGCAGGAGGAACTGACAGGCGAGCAGCGCGGAGCCTCTGGTCCGCCATTGCTGCTCTGATCGCTTCCACCCAGGCCTCCCGGTCTCCTCGATATCAGGCACCCATCCCACAACGTCACCATTACGTGGCTGGAGGGTCTTGCAGGGTGATTCCCACGCGGTCTGCAGCCAGTCGCAAACCTAAAGCAAGGCGGTCTTCGCAGCTTGTGCAGCTCTCAGCGCAGTGTTCAGGATCTGGTCTTTAAAGCCAGAAAACAAGCTCCCTTCTCTTGGGTCCCTGATTGGACAGTTTATACAGCCCGCCCCCTCAACATTGATTGGATCCCGTTCCATTGCCTTGAAACTAAGACTGACAGCCGAGGGCGGGCTGTATAAACTGTCCAATCAGTGTGAGTGGAACTCAAGCGGGAGGTTATAAACCAGACACTACTAATTCAATTTCTCTGCCAAGAGGCCGACCTGTCCTAAATTGCATTTAATCTGAGTTTACGCCTGACTTTCCAGAGCTGCTGCTGTCATTTTTTTGTTTCTAAGATAGAGTCTTGTTATGTAATTTAGCTTGTTCTGGAACTCACTGTTTAGCTCAGGCTGATCTTCCTACACCTGCCTCTCTAGGACTGGGTTTACAGGACGCACCACCATGCCTGGTTACTCTCGTCTTCTTATTGTGCTCGGGGCTTTTCCTGTGCGTGCTTTTTTCAAACGGGGACCTACATTTGCTAAGACAGTTCCAGAGTTAATTTGCAATGGGGAAATCACTATAAGAGAACATCATGAGTGCAAGCAAAGCCAGGAGGGAAGCCCTGCTGTTGTAAGAGGTAAAAAATCACGAATAAGGTGTTGCTTTCATGGACAAGAATTTTTCATACTGCGACTCTTGATTTACTCATTTTAAACCAAGAAAATAAGTGTCAATAAGGCATACAATTCCTGAATAAACACAATTTCTGGTATTGAGGCAGGGAAACCCAAGGACTTCAGATTGTAAATTCTCTGAGCTCTGAAGTTCCATCTTCAAATGATGAAACTCCATCATTCAACACATAAACATTGCCAGAAGGAAAATATTACCTGGAGTCTGGTGATACTCTTGATTAATGCCTTGTTTGCCATGAGATGTGCACAGAATCCTAGTACAGCACACTGTTGGTGTGTCTGGTTGTCACAGAGGTGTGACACTGTGGCTCTTATCTTTTGCCTCCTCTTTCCTCTCAGTAACCTGTTTTGTTCTGTGCTTCCTGGTTCTCACATAGCAGCTATCTTTTTTTTTTCTTTCATTTTCTTTCATTTCCTTTATGATGACATTAATCTCTGAAACCATGAGCTAAAATAAATCTTTTGTTTTTAAATTCTGTATGTCAGACATTTTGTATCTATATCAAAAAAAAAAAATTAACAGTAGGTGCCTGAACAGAGTAAACTGCCGAATGCATCAACCTTTTCTTTAGAAGATACACATAGATGAATTTTCTCTATGACTGAACCTCATAGGTTTTCTTCATATGAACATGCTTCAGTGTGACTTCAGCAACTCTCATCTCAATAGCATTTTCCAGGGCAAGTGCCATGGTATTCAGTATGAACCTGTGAAAGGACAATGCCTCAATAAAATATACACATATTCTACTTGCTTTCCACTGCTCTGAAGCTTGTAGCTGTTGCCACTCCTTCTGAAGTTATTCTGCAGATCTGGTGGTAACACATCAAAGAGATATGCAGCCCAGGAGGGCCTAAGGGGGTGGTCTTGACCTTTCTCTTAGGTTCAACATCACAGCTTCAAGTCACTGAACTGAAGACTGTGCTCCCCCAAACAGCTTATTCATCCACTTTACACTAATATGACATAAATCATGCATTGTCTTTGAATTTAAACCAAGAGAGTCTTTGTTTCCTTTTTTTGCTTATTAAGGAAGAAAAAGACAGTTATGAGGTACTGTATATGGACTCACATTATACAGATTATACCAAAACCAAAGTGAATAATTCTTTCCAAAGCTTTAGAGCTCTGTCATTGTGGCTAAGTTTTTTTGGTCCACACCACATGGGCTGCATTTTATAATATGGTCAGTGTCAGAATGTCCTTAGGCCTGGGGCATGATTCACTTCCCTAGTGCTTGTCCATCCAAAAGAATGGACAAAACTTTAAATCTTGGAGCCAGGAGGCCAACCCCACTTTAATTCACTCAGTCACAGAGGAGGGTGTCTGTGTCCAGGAAAGGACAGAACTAATATGTAACTGTCTGCTGTTCCACTATAGTCTCTCCCAAATGGTTTCTTTTGATAAATAAACTCGACGTACTTGAATGTGGTGAGATTGTGACCTGAGGCAAATAAGCCACTAATCTGCTCAGAGCTAGTTTGGAATAAGTCCTTTTCTCCTTTTTGCCAAAGGGTATAGCTTCCCTTTACTTAAAACATTGAACATTTAATTAGATAAAATATTAAAGAGAGTGTTGGGCCTCCAAGTAATGATGACAGAAAAATAGAGTGCCATTTGGATGAAGTAAGAACCTTCACTGTTTGAGGACATTTTGGACAGATTGCAAGATGTGTCGTGCCATAGACTTGTCATCAGTGACATTTGTGGAGAGGCAAGTTCCTTCACTACTCATGATTATTTGAACCTAGGACAGGACTTTTTTGGGGAACTGATTTGTGTGGTTAAAATTCAGAGTTGGAAAAATTGCTAGGCTTTTGTTTAGAGTGCAGAATAGTTTGGTTTTCTCTTGTATATTTAAATTTCCTTCAGTTTCTTTTACTTTTCTCTTTTTATAACCACATGTATTCTAAGATGGGCAGCAGTGTCTCAGGACTGTGCAGAATTATGAAACCCATTTGTGGCTTTAAGTGGCTGTGAGAAGCTTCAGCTTCTCCCCACCCCCAATGGTCTAACTTTGTCATTCCTGTTGGTCTTGAAATCACTATGAAGTTCAGGCAACCCTCCTGCTACAGCTTCCTTAGTGCTGGGACTACAGGTGTGTACTACAATGCCTGATTGCCCAAGGCTTTAAGACATTGTTTTCACTGGCTTTTCAAATGCCAAAGGCTTAAAATAGACCTATGCCTATCACCTTGTACAAAACTACAGTCAAAATGGATCAAAGATTTATTTATTTATTTTTTATTTTTTTATTTTTTAATTTTTTTTCAAAGTTTTATTGACAAACAGATAGCAATGAGACAGTTTCAAATCATATCGGAAGGACAGTTTCAACAAATAATACACTGCATATATTCTTCTTAGTGGTTAATTGCTGTACAAGATGCGGACTTGTGATCCCATTTACAAACACCATTAGAACAAATCATTCTATTCTGGATCAAAGATTTAAATATTAAAATGGATATTAAATTTTCTGGGAGAGAAAGTAGGTAGAAACCTTAAGAACATTGGTGTAGGTAAGGAGCTCATGACCACAAATCAAACTGCATAGACATACTTCAAAGAATCGACAATGGGGATCTCATCATTTTGAAAAGTTTCTGGACATCAAAAGAAATCACCAACAGGGTAAAAAGAAAAGTCATGAAGTGGGAAACAAGTATAGCAGACTGTCGGACAAGGGACTCCTATCTAGAACATATGAAGAAATGAAAAATAAATCAGGCTGCAAAAATTCAAAGATCTGGGGCTGGGGAGATAGCTTAGTAGAATAAGTGCTTACCTGGCAAGTACAAGGGGCTGAGTTCAATCCCCAGTTCAAAAAAAAAAAATCAAAGACCCAATCAAAAAATGGGCATCTGAAATGAATATACACTTTACAAATGAAGAGATACAAATGACAATAAATGCATGAAAAAATGTTCAACATCATTGATCATTCAAGACATACAAATTAAAACACGTCTGAGGTACCATCTTATACCAGAAAGAATGGCTATATTGAAGAAGTCAACCAATAACAAATGCTGGAAAGGCTGTGGGGAAAAAGGAACGCTTCTCCACTATTGGTGGGAGTGCACACTGGTACAAACATTGTGGAAATCACTATGGAGATTTCTGAAAAAGCTAGAATTGGAGGTCCATTTCAAGCCAGCTATTCCCCTCCTAGGTATTATTTTTCAAAAGAACTGAAATCACAGCTGTATGTGTACCCATGTTTATAGCAGCACAGTTTGTCATATCTAAATCTTGAAAAAAACCCAAATGCCTATCAACTGAAGAAATAAAAAAGATACAATTTTACACAATGGAGTATATTCAGCTATAAAAAGATAAATTTGAGGCTTTTGTAGATAAATAGATGTGGCTAGAAACTATATTAAGTGAAATAAATCAGATCCACATGTGCAAACATCATATTATCACACTAGTGTGAGAATCTTAAACAGTAAATAAAATATAAAAGGTACAAAAAGTCACTATGAAATGGAAAGAAACTGTTCAATGGAAGGAAAAACTGGGATGAGGAAAAGCATAAATGAAAGAAGAGAAAAAGATATATTTAAGTATATAAGCAGAATTGTTTGGATAATTATATTATCAATTTATGCTCATCTTTAAAATTTTTTTTTAATTTAATTTAATTTTTTTTTTTTTTTTTTTTTTTTTTTTTTTTTTTTAA